CTTAATTAGCTTTTTGAAGTATTCAATGCCAATGCCAGCATCATGCTGTGTTTACTGTATATACAGTGTATTTATATAGTATACCCTCAACTAATTGTACACGATTGGTTTGGTAAATACAGTATGTGGATATACAGTAACTTCACGTGATTTGTGCATGTGGCATGTTGGGAATGTAGTCTTTGTTCACGTTTAAAACTACAATACAGGAAAAGTGAGTCTTTTTATAAAACAGGCTATTTGATTGCTGATTGCCTTATGTTAAAGCACAATGGAAAAAGAAGAAGAGGGCGAAGGACTGTAAATTGCTTTATAACAAACATAATGTTTGTTAAAGAAGTTCATGTAGGAAGCTGGATGAATGCATTGGCTGCAAAGGAACAAGTAAAGTTTAATTCCATGCTGAAATTTGCAGCATTTCAGGAAATAACCTTCAGTTGTTCTTACTATTCATTAAAACAAAGTATGCAGGTCTCAAGATTAACTCCTCTATAACTCTTCATCTTACAGAAAAATCCCCCCTTAATCATGAAACCATCACTTATTATAATTTATCCAGATACACACTCACGGAGGAGCTAATTTTCAGAAACAATTAACCTCCCAGTATGTCTTCTCAACTGCAGTTTGATATAATTACTATATAAATATACAGTATACACAGTATATACAATATAGTACTGTATGGTTTTAAAGCCACTACAGTGCGATACTGTATGTGCGAAATATATCTTTATTATAAAAAATTAAAGTTAAATTGGTACATTAATACTTGTTGCTGAAAGTTGCATTTAGACAATATACAGTATAGATTTTCTTAATGCAGATGTAAACCTGAAAGAGGCACATCATACTCACAAACTATAATAAACTATTTTTAAATATATAAATATAATATATAATATAAATTAAGTACTTCATTCAGATCCCTTGAGTAAAATTCCAAGCTGTACAAAGGGGTATAAATGTCAACAGTTCTGAGGAGCAATGGCTTGCACTGTTTCCTACACAGAGCTGAGTTCTCACCTGGTTTCCAGCTTTAACTCAGACAGCTTCCTGCGCAGCTCGTCTTTGTTCATCCTGTTGATGTGTCCATTGGCAAGCGCGATCTCTTTGTACACAGGATTGCTGAACTCGCCTCTGCTGGCAGCAGGGCCGTGTGCGTCGTTCTCCGTGAGGCCACTTTGCGTGCAGCTGGGCTTACTCTGAAAGAGCACGTCATTAGCAGGCTGCACTCGGGACACGCAAGAGCAGCCGAGACCTCAGTCTGCTGGATCACAGAATTCATGTGGCCTTACTCCAATGTTCTCACCCATCCCACATTTCCACAGGTACTGTATACTGTATCAGTATATAGAGAACACTTTTTTTCCCTTGCAACTGGTGGTTTGGTACAATTGCGCTGTATAACCGCTACTTAGAGGCTTGAAAACGTAAGCAGGCAAGCTATTCAGCAACAGAAGAATCCTTTAATCCCAATTTATAATAAAACCCAATCTACAATTACTCACATTGTCATTCTTAAGGGTCATATTTGTTCACTGATATAAGTCCATTGCCAGTATGTATTCAGAAAGAATGATCTGATTATTATCAAAAATGTGTTTGTCGGTACTACTGTGCAAATGTATTCTCCAGGTCAGTATACTATGTCAGCATGTGGACTTTCAGAAAGTAACCGATACAGAGTTTTTGGAAATGTTTTAATTCTTTAAAAATATTAGGAGGAACCCCACCTCACATATGTCCTAGAAACATAGGAGAACATTGTAGTTGTTCAGCTTTGTTTACCATAGTACTCCATTTAATAGAATTATCAGATGCATTATTGATCATCAAAAGCATAGATTTGATATGGGGTTTTCCTTTAATTAGCTGTTGGGTGTCCTTTTTAGTTTGACTTCTTCAAAATGAATTCTCCAGCCAAACGATATTGAAAATATCATGATGTGAAAAAAACTTCACCTGGTTATCTGTAAAAACGAGGTAAAACAACAGTACATTAGTACTGTATTTCCATACTTTGGTACTTCGATGTAACCAGTGCCTTTATCTCAACATTGGTCTTTCTGGTCATTAATTCGAAAACTAAGGTGGAGATAGAAAACTTGTTAGAGAACAGACTGCAGTTGTCTTGTTGTAGAATGTGAACAACACAATTTTGACACTATAAAACGAGAAGCCTCGTCCAATTCTACACACAGAAGTAAAGTTAGTCATATATCGACACTGTTGAAAATCACGGAAACACATCCCCCTGTCACAAAAACAAACTTGTGGTGTTAACGTTACGTTAATGCAAACAACTTAACTATATCCGGTCTCACCTCTTTGCAAACACATCAAAACATAAGTCTTTGCTAGCCTGGTACTACTGCGCTTTTTTGCAGTTAAGTAAAGTTAATAAAAAGGAAATTATAGACAACTAAAATTTATTTTTTAAACCGGAATCTCTCTTTAATTCAGGTATTCCCTCTCTGGTATAAATGGAAGTAAACGAACACTAATATTCAAAACAGATCATTCTTACATGAGCAGAGCTGTCTGATCCATTACGCTGTGGCTTGTTTTCGTCCTGAAACTTCACGTTCTCCTTTTGATCCGCCATTGTAACGATACCGACATGAAGACCGTTATTTCCACACGGCGCCAATCCTGATATTTTCTGACGTACAGTACACGAGTTAACTCAGTCGGTGCCCTATTCCCGAAAGATACTTCTTCACAACAGTGTCAAACACGACACCTCATTTATGTATTGTTGTTTAACCATTAACTGAGAGGATACTCATCTTCTATACTGATGGTAACTAAACTGTGATAACTACTTCGACTTCTTAATCGGCATTCACTAATAAAGTAGAAATCACGTCAACAGTGGTTTAGAATAATAACAAGCGCAACATTTCAAAATGAGCTCCCCTACTCCAAACAACGACAGCTTCCGTTTGCTTGTCTGAGGTGACATCCTGGAACCAACGGAATAAAACTGAAAAGGAGGTAATGTTATTGGGTGCCTTCTAGCGTCAAGGAGGACTCATTACTATGAACTTCTATGACAAAGTGGTGCGTCCCGTTTAATAACATTCTTAAACTGTTAAAAGAAAAAAATAAACTACTTTCCAAGGAATGTATATTACCTGTTATCTTCTTTACGTTCAAACAATTATAATCAAATAAATTCTTCCTTCAGTAAATTTTTCAGTAAAATACATCCAAGATTTTGAGATGAATGTTAAATGAGAATGGAACTATATATTTACTAGCTATGATGATAATAACAATTATAATAATTGCTTACACTTATATAGCACTTATCTGGACATTCCACTAAAAGCGCTTTACAGGTAATGGGGACTCCCCTCCACCACCACCAATGCACAGTATCCACCTGGATGATGATACAGTCATTAATTTATTTCCCAGCATCTTCAGATACTGGCTTCTGAAGAACAGAAGAATGCAAGAAGGGTAATCAACTTATCAGAGATGAGTGCTTATCTGCTTCTGAGATAAATAACATTAACCTGAAAACATGCTCATCTTTATGTTCCTGGTCTCTGTGAAGAGCTTGATGAAGAGGTATCAGTTCATAATAATATGATACATTTTTCAAAAACTTTTCAACACTTCTGAGAACCTTCATAAACTCATCCTAAATATTAGAACATCATTTAATCAGTGAAGCCCAGCAGAATGATGGCAATATGAATTAATGAAATGATGATAAGGGGATAGGCTGGACAGTCATTAGGTCACTCTATAATGGATAAACTTCTAAAATATCATGGTTCTGCATTTAATCTAGGTATATCAACTTCTTAATAAAAGCAAAATAGTCCCTGAACTATATCCAATGACATTTTAACAGCAGCACCTTGAACTTTGAGTTGTGGATTATTGTACAGCCAAGGAGTGAGTCATTTAAGATTCTTCACATTGGCTTTCATGATAGTGAATCAATGCTGAAGAAACTCCCAGAAAATTAAATGAATCAGGGCAATATTTGACCTTCAGGGATGACCCAATCTGGCCCTCAAGGGCCATTGTACAGTGCATTTGATTTGGTCTTTAATCCCCAGCATTTTAAGAGCAAGGAAAGGCTCTAGTTTGTTAGCATTTGTTATTGCTTTTCATTTTCTCTCTACCTTGATGACTTAATTAAACCAATTAAGTGAACAATAATGTAATCCACAATTTGAAACAACCATTACCAGGCCCGGACTTAATTAGAAACTAATTGAAATGTGCCTCCAAAACAGGCAGGAACTGAGACAATCTGGAAACTAAGTAGGTTTCTGATTATAATGCTTATAACAAGCACCTTTGTTCTGGTTAAGCCTGTCAGGAATCATCACCAATAATTTGGTTCTCTAAACAAAAAGTAGATAACTCATTCAAAAGTAATACTGGCTTTTAGATAGATACTTTATTGATCCCATGAGGGAAATTGCAGTGCTACAGCAGGTGAACACAGACAACACAGCAACAGTCTAACAAAATGACACAATAATGCAACAATACAATAAATAACATTTAGGAAATAAGGTCAACTGGGAGTGAAAAGTAAGAAAAACAGGTTAACAACCCCACATTTTTTAAAAGCATCATAGGACCACAGCAGATCAAGTGTTCAGGAATGTATTATCTGAAGGAAGATTTCACAGCAGTCACTATATTAGAGCATTAGTTCAGAAATAAAGATTCAGAAGGTAGAGTGCCATCTACTGGACAACCAGCGTCAACTACAATTAATTGTGAATGCATTTTACAAAATTGCAATGCTGCCTTTCTGCATTAACAGGAGCTAATCCTTTTTGACTAAAATCCAAAGAACTTCTATTTTGTTATTCCAACTTGTAATTTAATGTCTGGAGCTACATACTATATTATGTTTCAGTAGAAAGGTAAGAGTAAGATAAATTGTTCAAACGTAAAACCGAAGTCTGGACTCTCTATGGCGTCCTGGCCAAATTTCCCATTGGCCCTTACCAATCATGGCCTCCTAATAATCCCCATCTTTGAATTGGCTTCATTACTCTGCTCTCCTCCCCACTGATAGCTGATGTGTGGTGAGTGTTCTGGCGCACTATGGCTGCCGTCGTATCATCCAGGTGGGGCTGCACACTGGTGGTGGTGGAGGGGAGTCCCCATTACCTGTAAAGTGCTTTGAGTGGAGTGTCCAGAAAAGCGCTCTATAAGTGTAAGCAATTATTATTATTATTATTATTAATTAAACCCTTCATGCAACAAAAAGTAACTCAATTTTAATCTCACAATTGTTAAAATCACAACACTTGTAACCTTAGGCCAGTACTTTCTGTGTAATCCAGTGGTAACTTGCAGCACCAGTGACTTTGCCTCCATAAAAAGTTGTTTAAGTTTAAAAACCTTCTTTTGTTAACAATACTGTATGTCCTTGAGATTCTGACATAATGCAAAGACAGCAATTAGCTACAAATTATGTTGTTGATAACAGAAAGGAAAGTCATCCAGCTACTGGAAGAGGGGGTGGTGTGAGAATGAGAATTGTAAATTCTGTTATCTGGCTATAAAGAGAGCTGTACCGGGGAACAGGCAGAGAAAGAAAAAGAGAGAGAAACACCTTTTCTTCCTCTCATGCTGCCTTAACTCCAGCTGAAATAGAAGCCTGATGAGCACTTCACCTCTGTAGCCCGGACTCTGATTCTTTTCCCAGTATCCTGAAGAGGGGTTATCCTCACCCATGTGCCTTCACAAGACTGAATTGCAAGGTTTTTTTAAACAACTTTTAAACAAGCAGAGAGAACAGTCTTAAATGTGCCATTTACACAGCAGATGCTTGCTCACGGACATAACTGCTTAAGTACACTTACTACAGTATGTATTTATAAAATATTTATTTTAAACTGAGCCCACAAGACACAAAATAAATACCAAACAGTCACAAGCATCTGGCTTCTCTCCATAAAAAAACACTTTCCAAATGTAATGAGTTAACATCCCGACCACCAAGAATTGCTTGTCTAAATATTTAAATAAGCTATTTTAGTGGAGAATGCATTTGTGAGGCAGCAATCCAATTAATGAAAATGGAAGACAGTTGTTCAATCACTAAATGACAGGAGGAAGCTTGTGATAACTTTTAGGAAGTGAGGCCACATGCCAAAAACTAGCTATACGGATGTTAATTTGCAGAAAGTAAATGGCTAGTGAAGGATTGCTAGGCAGCAAAAGAGACGGTGCACAGTTAAAAGGTTACTAAATAGCAATCAATTCATTGTCTGCAGGGAATTGCCAATTGAACATAGAGATGAAATGAGCTAATGGGACCCATTACTATCAATTCTACTCTGTTTAAGGACACATTTTAATTGAATCTAATTGAATTCAGGCTCTCACTCAATACAGCTGAGCAGACAAACTAAACTTTCCTTATTTGGTCAAATAAGACCCAGGGACTTAACTTCAGTGCCTGTTCATCCTATGAAATAACACAAAGCTTGATCTGTTTCATGTAGCCAGAAATATTTGATTATAATTCATAATGCACCATCTGTGTAATCAATAGCACATACATCTGATGAGCCAATTTCAAAAAGGTGTCTTTCAGTCCTATGTATTTGTAAACTGGATCTGCGGTTTTCTCTCTTGGTGGTTTTGATGCAGTTGAGGATTTAAATGCTGCAGCCAACAGACTGTGATTGGCATTTCTTCAACATCACGGACCTGGCATCTCACAGCCCAGTTTAGCATTCACACCTCAAATATTTATATTCCTGGCAGGCAAAGCCCCCCCAGTCCTTTTATTCTGTTAAAAGACTAATCCTTCAGTATTTAAGTAATCTTCAGCAGCTGAGTCAGCTAGACAATTTATATACAAAAAAAATTAAAACTAATCTCTAGCAAAAAAAAAAAAGGATTCTCCATCACTAGCCTATCACACCAGGTTGAAGGCATCCTCCTGAAAGGTGGAAAAATACAATTTCAGCTCGATAGCAAGTACGGCTCATAAAAGATTTAGGCATGCAACGTTAAGTTCATAAAGATAAAGATGTTAAGATGATAAAAAAAAATGCAGAATTAGATCACTTCATCTGCCCCACCGTTCCATCAGTAATGCAGCATATCTGACATCTGACAAAAACTAAACCCATTTATAGCAGTGTAATGAAACAATTATAGCACATATTTGAAGTTAAGATAATTAAAAACAAAAGGCCTACTAAATAGCACAAAAGACAAATGCCCTTGTTCAAAGCATAGTGTGTGCCCTGAACAGTGGTAGCTCAAGCTTTGGCTGTGTCAGCTCTGTAAACAGCAACATTCAACTGGCCAAATGCTTTTAAGTGTTGGGGCAGTGGACGCAGTCAGTGTATCCCTGGCTAACCGTACAACAGTAGTGACAGCCGGACAACAGCAGGTGCTTGTTTGCTTGCAGTGCTCGAAGACAGAGGTGTTCCACCCCTCTAATTTGTGCTAATTCAGCTGTAGGGTAATGTACAGCTCATGATAAGTGACCAATGCATGTTGGAAATCTACTAGTAACAAAGGCTATGTTGAAGACTCTACCCACACCCCCAATAAGAACCACTTCAAAAACTAAGCTGTACTACATTGAGACCCCCCCACCCACCGGATTTAAAAAAAGTTGGAAAAGGGGTTTGTAAATTCAGGATTGAAAACATTTCTGCAGTACAAAAATACTTACATCTGTTCATTTTCTTACAGCCATCAATTCAGGCAGTTTGTCTGGTGAGAATCAATGGACCACACCACTTTGACTTCTAACAATATCCAGCTACAGCGTGTTATTTTGCGAATGGTTCCACAAACTTCGCCTCCGAAGTTCTGAAGGTTCCCTTCCAAGTATTTATGGAGCACCAGCCAGCCCTGCATGCAATCTAACACAAACTGCACAACTGATCTGATGGAATTTGATAGTGGAGGAGTTGCACTGGCCTATGAGAAATGTGAGAGGAAAACATTGAAATAAGGGAAACCATAACCTACTCTCACCCCCTTTTCTTTTGATGACCTACACCACGCATCTAAGTCAGAGACAATACAGACTGGACTGCTTACAGAGTTCCACCCCTGCAAGCATTTACCATAACTCATTAAAATAGCTGCCATCCTCAGCAGTTCTTTATAGTGTCCTCTGCTTAGTTATCTTCTCGTTCATTCCATGAGCCCGACCTTTGTCCACTGGATCCATTACCTGGTTGTGCGGATAACGTTGACGCTTTCCCACAGGTGTTAAGCAATAAGCAGCTTTTAGAGATGGATAAACCCTGATGAGTTGTGCCCTTCGATGCCCAGGGGTGAGCTCTGCTGCAAAGGGTCAGGGCTTGCCTCAGACAATTCTCCGCAAGCCTTCTTTAACCCATCACATCAACAAATGCCTTTTAAAGAAATAGAACACACAACACATCTCAAGCTTCTCAAGTGTACCAACATCAGAGAAAGATTATTAACAAAACCTTTATTAAATATTTTTTTTTTTTTACATGATAAAACAATCTTTTTTTTTTTTGAAAGCACAAATGAACTCCGACATCTCTGAAATTAAAGTGCATTTTCCCACCCCATACAAAAAATATCCCTACGGTCCTTTCGATCATAGCTTATGATACAAGGCACTTTAAAGCACAAAAAAAGCACATATTTTGCTTGAACACACAACTGCAAGGATGCAGATGACATTCTGAATCGAGGGAAATTTCTACTAAAGAACATTAAATTCATTTCACACTTTTGACTGTGTTCATCCGACACCCCCACACCCCCTCAATCACTGAACAAGTTGGTGAGTTTGCAACTAGTCTTAGTATGTGGTGTCATTTTATTTATTTTTTTACAGTGTACACTTCAGGCCCATTTGTACATAACAAAACCCTCCAACACCAACCACATTGCAAAGATCAACATTATGCTTGCTTCTTGGCTGTCTGAACGTTTCACACCACAGAAACAAAGGATGACTCAACCTGCTTAAAACGACCTCTCCTTCACAGTTGTTAGTGGTCAACAGGCCTCATCAGCTCTCCGTTTGTGTACAATAGTGTTATTGATAGTTTAAAGTGCAGGGAGAATTCCAGCATTTTCATTGGTTTCAACACTGACTGCCAAGAAAAGAACAAGCACCTGATAGCTCTCCTGTCAAGGAGTCACATCTCAGATTTTTTTTAAACATTAATGCTTTGAGATACACAATACAGTTCAACAACAGTTTAGGAGGAAGCACAGACAGTTCTCATACTCTATACTATCCCCCACAACAATGAGACAAAAAACATGGCAGTCAGCATGATAAAATATTTCTCCCAATACATATTTCTTTTGCATAAAACTACACCAAAGGTCACTTGATGACATTCAAATCAGCAAACAATGACAATAAAACATACAGAACACAAAAATCTACAGTGTCATTACCCCTTGAAAGGTTCCCTTCACATTAACAATGCTAAAAATTCAAATTTTCAAGCCATTTCTCCTTTAAAATTACATTTTTTTCCTCTGCAAAAGGGTAAATCATTAGCTAGTCTTCAACTGCTTTCCTTTAGTAGACATTTCCTGCAATTTAAAACAATGCATACATTTCAACATTTTAAATGTGACAAAGGACTCTGAAACAATCTAGATTACAAATGTACAAAACCTATACTCTGATCCCTGCTCATTCGGTTATGATATATAGTACAACTATGAAGGGTAAAATTGCATCAGCCACAGTAATTTTAATGTACAGATGTCTCAGATAAGATTTTGTAACTCATCATGAGATCACATTTACACTTTTCATGTTTCAATCTCACTAACACAAAAATTGCACACTGAGAGGCAAATTATGCCAAAACAAAATGAAATCATTTCTATCAGACACCAATAACAGCCTGTAACTGTTATATACATAAATATTCTGTTCATAAAATCCCTTTGAAACCTGCAAAGAAGTCATGAACTCGAAGGGAGAAAATAGATGCAGCTCATTTTCAATGGCCATTATTTTCGTCCTTAAAAATCTATGATGCAGCACAGGGAGAAAATCGCTTTCAAATTAGGGATTGATATGAAATTGAAATTTTGTGGTACAGAGTTTTTTGACCTCCCACCTTAGCAAAGAAAAGAGAAAAAGGAAGTTAAAAATGCTTTGACTTAAACTACATTTCATGATTATCAGTAACATACCCACTGAAATCCCTAGTCAAGGGATCATGTAGTAACTATTGGCCGCACAAGACTAGGCTACAAGAAGGCAAAACAGGTAGTATGACAGAGAAACAATAGACAAATGAGTGCAATCGCAGTCATGAAATAAACTGATCCGAGTTCCACAAAGCTCCAAGGATTGAGGCTGGTCCCTTTGTCCAGGCCACATAAACGTGACTAAACTTTAACATCAGGATAAGAAAGCTTGAGCTGTTTGCTTTCTGTCCACAATTACTCCGTAAAAGGATTACCGCTGCAACGCAGTGGATGGTCGATCTTGTACAACTGCACTGTGTAGATCTGCTTTAAGAATATCTATCCCACCATTTGTTCCCACAGATAAACAAGCTTCTGATCTTCACTAATATACCAACAATACTGCCATGTCATATCACTTCTGCCAAACTCCCCCAAATAATCTCTTCAAATAGGGAAGCAGGGTCTGATGTAGAGACGGGATTTTTTCCCTTTCTGACAAATCATGAAGGCTGATCAGAAATTACATTTTCAACAACAGGGTAATGGAGCAACTGTACAAGCTGTCAACACGTGGAAGAAATTTGAAATGGCAGAACTACTCCAATGCCTTCCTGTGGTGAATGCTAATTCCAGGCCCACCAAGATTGCCAAGAAGAATTCCACCCACTACAGCAAACATGTCTGGGAGTCTAACAGACTATAAAGACTGTTTCCACTAAATTCAGCGAAGCCCTCCTCTATGATTGCAGACAGCGCATTCTTGCCAACAATAGCAGCAACATGTCTGAAGCCATTTTCTATAATCCTGAGTATCCACTATTGTCTAGTCTTACATCCACTGACATTACATATTGGCTTCAAAATGTCCCCATAATAAATTTAGAAGAAGCACACAGCATAGCACTACAATAGAAAAATAGAAAATGTCTAAAGCGTCTCTTTTCACAATAAGCCTGACAAAAACAAGTAAGGCCTCTCTCTAGAGATATGCTTCCAAGGCTGTCACACTTCAGTGTACGCGCCACAGTCTTAAGAACCAATGTCTTTTGCAACATGAGTCTCAGCAGACAACCTTCACGTAAAAGCATTACTGTCTAGCTGCATTTAAACCTGCTCTGCTCTTTCAAGCTCATCCACAGATTTCTTTGACCCTTTCAAGCAGGTGACTAGATGGCTATCCCAGTTTCTTTTTGCATTTCCCTGAAGATACCTGAAAAAAGGATGCACTCTACTACAAACTGAATCCTGGAGAGCCGTGCGTGACAGCTAGTAGTAGGGTCCAATTTTTTCATAGCCTGCATAGCTGGGCCATTCAGGGAAGATTCCATGTGCACATCTGGGGCTGCCATATAGGTCACAGTGAATCCCCAAGTCCTCTATGGCGCTACTTGACTGGAAACCACCTTTGTCGCCGTTCTGGGAGGAGCTTTTCAGGACTGATCGGACAACCTTGTAGTTTTGACCTTGATTGCTGTCCCAAAAGGTCTGCCCGCAGCATTCATATAAAACAGCAAATTCAATGCGTTCGTGAGGGGGGATTTTGCTGGGGAGGTTGATCTCGAAGGAGAAAGTGTCCTTGTCGGATCCGGTGTAGGTGTCTTTGACGTACTGGCATTCCACGTCCCTGAAGCTCTTCCAAGTGTCGAAAGTGACACGCATCTTCACGGACTTCTCGAAGGACAGGTTTTTTACCTTCACTGTGCCAACCAAGGATTTCTCCTTCAGCATGCAGTTCTCGAGGCACACGCAGTCCACTTCCAGACGCTGACGGAAGGCCAGGTAGTCTGAGGAGGGCTGGGCGAAGTCCAGGATAAGGTGATCCTCTTCCATGGACATGTTCACCACCGTATCAATGAGCTCCTGGATATTCAGAGGAATATCAATGTGGTCGTCAAACTCGGAGAAGATCTTGACCATGGTGAGAGCAAACCCCTTGTGGTCAGCGAAGGACACTTGTTTCTTGGCTTTGGACTTTTCCTCCGAGTGGTTGCTGAAGTCTTGCGGCTTCACCTTCAAGATGGAGGTCCGGTGAACGCAAGACCGCAGGGGTTTGCCCAGCTTGGGGATCCTCTTGTAACGGAAGTCATCTCTCGTCAGATACAGAGGCATGGCCAACTCTAGAGGTATGGCAGACTTGTGAGGGAAAAAGCCTAAGACACTAGGGGAAGAGGGGGGGGAAAAAAATCACATCATAAGACATAAATAAGAAGATGGATAAAAAGCATTCATACCTATCCCTTAAATGACCTTTGGAGATCATGCCAACTTTCCACAACCACAATAAGCCATACAGTAGAGCCTCATAAATAATTAAGTGGTCACTTAGAACACGAGGATCTAGTGAAACAAAATACACTGAAATATCAAGTGACATGAGAGGCAATAACAGCTCAACTAACATTTTCTCAGGCTCTCCACATTTATTCAGCTATCCCCTTTATGTGAAGGTAGCCAATGACTTTGAAATGCAACTTTATTCCAGGAACAAACACGAGTATTGTACAGTATATGGTAAGGAGTACACAGAATAAATGATACACTATTGCATTTTGAAAAACATCATAATGTTGCAAGACACCTAGTAGGATTATTAGAAAAATGTAGGGACTGAACAAGAAATAGCAATGTGACACTTAAATTAAAAGCAAGACCGATGAGAAAAAGTGTATCAGATGAAAGAAAGAAAGATGAACATTTCAAATTCTTCAAGGACAGGGACTCATATTCTTCTCGACTAAAATAAATCAAAGGTACACCTTTCCTGGAACATTAGGTTTCCCAGCAACTTTTGCATTCAGTTTTTTTATATAAAAGGGCTTCCCAGACAGCCAATATAAAATACAAGAGTAAAAAAAAACTCCAATGCAGGTCCAGAGCTGCTGGTTGAGTGTTTCAACATTACTAGCCCTTCATGTACATCACATTAAACAAGTGGAGAATAGCCCACATCCTGATACGCACTGCACTACAGACTGCAGAAGGCGACTTTGTGTCTAACGGGGGAGATAAGTCAGTCCCTAGCAACAGCACATTGACATTCTTACAATGGTAACCATGCTTACTCCATGTTCATAGCTGCAGGCTAATATCTTTTTCCACTCACCATTTGTAAAATTGCTCTGTATGCAACCACATGACTCCCTCCCATCCCACCTTCTTAACCCATAACTAACAGGTAAATCTCAATAGTTGGGCTTTCCAATTGCCTTTACCTAACCTACACAGCAATGAAGATGCTCTACTGACAATAGTGTAACATCTGTATGAGCTACTGGCTAGCTAGTTCTCAAGTGTGACAAATGCGGCCATATTCTAATTGTGGCCAGCATTAAGAGGTAACCCAGTAAATTATCACAATACAGGATTAACTGAACAGTCACTGCGAGGTCCACCAATGTTAAAAAGAAAGTATTTCAAAAGCAAGACTGATTAGAGATAAAACATACAGTATCAAACTACGTTTTACACCGTCCTGTAGGTTTTCCTGAAGAAGACATGTTATTAAATATCATGTGAACTGAAAAATATAAAGCCTTAGTTTTTTAGCACTACCACTTAAGTACAGATTTCCATATTTCAACTAAGTTTAAGAAAAATGAGTGGCAAAGTGGTTTGGCGCTGTGGATACCCTCATGAAATCGCAATGATGAAAGTGGGAGGGAGTGACGAGCATCTCTTAGGAGTTGTAGTTTAGGTTTTCAAAGTTTTTGTGAAGATATCATTTTATTTTTAAACAACTTCCTAATTGACAAAAGGGGGGGCACTTAAGGCTTAGAGAAACCTTCTGTGCAAACAGGTCTAGGTAAACGTCTTGTGTCTTCATCCATCCGACAGTTACAACACTTACTGATCAGACCACTATCCTGGAGGATAACGATCTACCACTTACACCAGCTTTCAACATAACTTACATCATCATTGCAGCGGCGTACATAGGATTTAAGTATAAGGTCACTAAGGCAGACAGTTAATATTTGCCAGCCCAATTTGCTTTGACGCTAAAAATAGCTCCCGAGATACGCTCGCCAGCAGACAGCAAGTTTCAAACGATCGGTTACAGTCTGATTCCGGAAGTTAACAAAACTTTTCACATTTTAAAGCTCAATGCAAAGATGCTCGACGTTCGAGCCTTTTTTTAAAATTAAAATAAAAATCAAAGTACAGTTCCGGGTGCAAAATGAAGTCTACATCAGCCAGGATGTAATCTGTTATAAATCCCCCCCACCCTACAATTTAATTTGTCCTCCAGCTGGCGAAGAAAACGAATGAATAATTCCTTTCCAAAACAATCTTTACACAGGTTTTTGAAAAAATGGAAGTTTTGTTTCCTTCACTGCACGGAACAACCGTGTTCATTTTAGCAAACTTCGTGAGGAAGTCCGGCATAGCTACGAAAACTTTAGTAAAATGCAAAGCACGGACGACCCCCCTCATCTTACCCATCACTAATGCCATTTTTACCAAATAAATAGGTAAAAAAAAACAATACTGATACCTGGAGGAGTTCATTTCAGTGTAACCTGGGTGCACGATTAAACGATTACAACTGCGCAAACTTGCAATCCCTGGTCAACACCTCTTCCTGGTTGTTTTAAGTTAAAACCATCTTCGCAGGCAAGAGTTTCTCCTTCCGTCAACGAAAAGGAACTTGCGATTCACATACAAATTAATATCGACAACCACCACTCCAGTAGCGTGTAAAGTAGCTACACTGAATTTAAATCACGAAAGGCATAAAAAATCGTCATGGGCAACAGTTCAGGATACTAAAGAGTGCATATAGCTCGCCTATTCTAAACCAATTCTAGCTGCATAAGGATGATGGGAAATACCACAACTTGTTTTTTGTAACTTTCAGCGCCGGATACAAATTTGCAGTGCAATTTAGTGTGTACTTACAACTCGGAGGACCTGCATGGTGTAATTTCTCCAAGTACTTTAAAATGCTAAATATACAATAATTTAGCAACACATTTAGTCAAGATGAAAGAAAATGTTCTGGGGGTTTCATTCACCGAAAACGTGCCTGGATGTACACAGACGGAGTAGACGCAATCGACAGTGACATTTAAGGTACTTGCTAAAAGACCCTCAGATGAATGAAACCATACTATGTAATGAAGACTGCTGCCAAACTTACCTGGTACAGTTCATTTGAAACATCTGCCACAGTAACTCGAGGTGACCTGATTACAATTGCTCATCTCTCTTCAAGCTAAACTTCATTGTCGGCCCCTTTTACGTCGTTACTTGCTCGTTTTTTTCCAATGGCTTCATTTTCCAAACGATGATGCATGTGTCACTGCAGCCACAGTGCCCAAACTCTTTCCCTCTCCATGTGCCATTACCATTGTTGTACTGCAACTACTTCGGCATCAACCGGCTTTCTACCAGAAACTGCGTTCACGTGAAACTCTGGCCAGAGCCAATCATTACGTGCCTAATTCGGCATTTGACCAATAGGAAGACGGCCTGGAAGCGAGTGATCCAGGCATGATCACGTGATAAGACCGCCTGGCCCGCAGTAGTATTTTTATCCTAGATCTAAGTCTCCCTCGTGGACAAGTCAAGGGGCATGGTGGGGGTGGAATCCCCCCCCCCCCATTTTGAAAAGATACACTGAACAATGCACAGGACAGAACAAACCAGCTCCTGAAGTATGTAGGTAGCATCCTTACATTTTCCAAGGTGGATTATTTTTATATGTAACCTCTAATGAGTGACCATCTTTAAGTGTTTTGAAAGATGTTCATTCATGCAGCTCTAAAATCAGACTTATGTGCAAGATCCTTTTTTTTGCTAACAAATAAGATGAAAACACTCTGGTAAACTTTTCCTAGCAGTGTTGTCAGTGGACCTGTGGACCTGCAAACAGGGGGGAAAAAAAGTTTTAAAAAAAATCTATCAAATGTCCACAGCTGCATTGGATTTTGCAATAATATAGTGAGGGTTTATGGCATGATTTTTTAAAAAGTTAGATTAGAACAGGTTATATGAAGTGATTTGATTTTATTTGGCTCATGCTCATACACTATGGTTTTGAGTCCCAAAGCAGTCTCAGGCTTTCTCAGTGTGATAAGCAGTGGACATACAATACTCCAGCAGTGGTATACAAAAATCCTAGTTCTGGAGTGGTTTGTAAACTTTTTTATAATTTGTTTTTTAAAGCTACTTTTTGAAAACCCAACAGTTTAGGAATGATTGTGACTCGGAGGCATTCAACCATAATCCCACAGATGGGAGTTTGCAACAATTGGCTCCTTAGCCAAGCACAGACATCACTTGTCTGAGCCTGCAGTTCAGCAGCTATGCTGTACCATTTGTGGAAATGTTAAACACTTCAAATTTAGAAAAGAAAACCAGAATTTTTGGCAGCAGTGATTTGGCATACTTGGCACACTGACTGCTAAGCAAATAAGTAAAACTTGCTTTTAGCTCAGAGAATTTTAAATGTGGTTTATTAACATGTGGGCTGATTTATATTAATATGAGCAATGAAGACAACTACAAGCAGGCCTAAAAGAAATGATACCTGTAGCTCATGCTTTCCCTTTTTGTCATAATGGCCATGCATAAATATTAATTACAAGCACATGTTGGAATTATTAAAGTATAACAGTAGTTAGAACACTTCATATATTGGCAAATAGCTTTGTTCAAGATAAATGGTAAAATAGATTTGTGTGACTGTCATACCTGCTCTTAAACAATGTCATGGGAGTAATATACCTAAATATCAAAGAAACTAAGCAGGTCTTCCACTTGTTGTCCAAAATACTTTAATAATGCATGGAGAAATATAGAATTGACACTAGTGCAATAAAATTGCTGCATTCAGTGGTTGTGCCTCTCCTCTCACAATTGTTTGTTATTATTGTGCTATACAACAAGATATTGTTGCATATTGATTTCACTCCTCTTATGGTTGATGGAAATTTTTTATATATGTGAAGCGAAGGGTATTAAAAGCTCTTTTGTACAGGGGCAGCAACATCTGTTCTAACGTCAGAAGAGAAACTAGCTGTCACTCGCACTAAACACCACGTTGCTGGAAAAAAAAACTAAGCTGGCAACCCACTTACAAGGAAAAAAAGCGAAAGAACAAGAACTCCAAAAGGGTGAGTGAAAATAATAAAGACCGAAACAGAGCATTAGATGGGTAACAACGGTGAGTAATCATTATATCTCATCTCAAGATGAGAATCCAGCATGAATTTGAGGTCTTTCTTTTCTACCAAGGCAAACCAGTCTTGTTAACTGCAGACATCCATTCTCCATTGATGTACAAATAATTACAATAATCATCACATACTTCAATGAATTATGTAGTAGCATTAGCTTTATTTTGTCGCTTGTCTTGTTGTACCATGTGACAAAGCTACATTGTACTGTCAGATTGACGTGCCTGGTTGTGCAATGCGTGGTGATTTTGTGTCACCATGGATGAAGCGGTCTGCTAAATAAATTAATAATGATCATAAATTTTGTTGTGTCAGCTGTCGGGCCACAAAATGCGTTTCTTTGGAAAGGCTTTGTAGGCTTTCTATAGTGACTGTATATCATGACTACAAATCAGTCAGCCTCAAAGTGTGGGAGGAAAGAGTCAGAGGGAGGTGGATGATTAAGTATGAATTCATCTTCTGTACAGAGAAAATGTTCACAGTGTGAATACTAGATACATAAGGGTTTAAAGCTCAGCAACAGAAGAATCATTGTGCTCTACAGTACATGCTGTACATCTTGACAGACCTGGATCTCTTCAAATTTGATAAGATAGAATTCTGACATACAGTACAAAGGTATAACAAAAATATATACTCAATCCATTATAGAAAAGCCTACCTGTTTATGAAAGAGTTGTTTTTCTATGAGTCCATGTCACAGCAAACTATGCCTATGTTCAGTATTGAAAGGATCTTAGCTTTTTTACTTGTTAAAGTAATAAGGCATTTTAATTTACAGTTACCAAATCCAGAAAACAAAAAATGCATGTTTAAATTCCATCTGTGAACAATTTTAATTGCGTTTTTAAACGTTCCTTTCTGTTAACAGTACTCATTATGTACTGTAGTATTCCTTTTGCATAAAGGTGAAAACATTAATACATCATGGCCTGCATGAAAGAATAACTCTACCGCAAAACACAGATGTGTGAAGCATTTAATGACTTTTGAATACTGTTGTGTATCTTTTAATCTTGCATAAAAAACATCCCTTAGTGTATGCTAGCTTCTATGATGTCATTATCTGCGCTGGAGTCTAGAATTAGGTCATGTTTAAATGATAACTTTAGTTCAGAAATCAACAGAAGAGTTAAGGGACACTGTTTTGAGTTTTCTTTTGATGTAATGGACATTAAACTTAATGGATGCCAGACTAATAGGAAGAAATATGGGGAGGGGACAGAACAAATTTCACAGTAAGCACCAGTGATGTATGAAAAAGGATACTGCAATAGTGCAAGTACCTTAAAGAGCATTCTGAAGAAATTTGAGTGGGGGAACTATCAGCGTGCAAGCTGCAAAATTAACATTTACATGGTTGCTATGATTTCTGTCTCTCCTAACCCATTTGTGTTTGTTTTTACTTTGTTCTGGAAACAACTTTGCTCCAGAAAGCATCCCCCAAGATTCATTTGGGGTAAAGAAGGTTAATGAGGTAGTATATCTGTGATGCACACCATACAGATCACCACAATATTTCACATCCTTTTGTGTCATTTTCATGAGCATCTGCCAGGGGGTATTCCAAGCTGCGATGAACAGAATAATGGCTCGTATATTGGCCTGCATGTGCCTGCTTGGTAGATTTCCTGACTTTGGTTGTGTAAGAATGTTTTGTAAAATATATACTTGCATATAGAGCATGCAGTATCTCTGCTGAGGTTTCTCGTAACACTTGTGTACGTCTTTGGCAAGTGAGCTGGTAGTACTGTATATAGTAACTGGACGTCAAGCCCCAAAGGTGTAGAATACTATTGTACTGGGAGATGGGCATGAGACAAGGACCGCATGGGACTGATATGTATGGCAAAAGGCTAATTTTCTTCCTCACTGTGCTCCTGATGAGATCTATCTGTCAGACAGGGAACACCATGCAGAGTAATTCCTGAAAAGCAATGAAGCTTTAAATACTTCTCCATGAAATATGGGAAGCTTCAAATCAAACTAAGCACTTAAATAACCCAGAAATACATTCATAGTAAGATACACATCCCTTGCCACTGATTGACAATGCCTGTGCTGTGATAATGAACCAGTAATGCCTATCTCAGAGTCAAATTCTAAAAATTACTAGTAGAATTGTATCATTATTACGGAGCAACTTCTGCAATTTTCTCATTAAGCTCATACGTTTTTGTATAAAAGTAATGTAGTTTGATTTAAATTTCCTTTTTTTTCATTTAATCCTATGATACACATGCTTTCACTACACTCTACTACACCTTATTGTTCTTTCACCAGCATATACTGTAGTTCACCAGGATACTGTATCTGTATGGAGCAGTTTAGTGTAACAGGTAAGTCTTCAGGTAACCTCATGACTGATGGGTTGTGGGTCTACACTACAGATGCTGCTATTGTAAATAATAATAATAATAATAATAATAATAATTGCTTACACTTTTCTGGACACTCCACTCAAAGCACTTTACAGGCAATGGGGACTCCCTTCCACCACCACCATTCAGTGCAGCACTACCACTTATACCAGTTGTTCTAGTCCACCGAGCTATATGAATGGGAGCAGCTTTTGTTAGGGAAAAGCTCTGTGATGGACTAATATCCCATTCATTGAATGTGGAAATTACGTACCTAGTCTAGACGTAATTAAGTCTAGAAGCAGAAAAGCACCGCAGGTGAACGTGAATCTAAAGAAATTCACTTAAAACACAAATGCTACTGTACCCTGGGTATTTGTTTTTGGAATATTTTGGGATCTTAAATTTAATGAAATTATTACCATAGCTACCATTGTTTTTATATTGTAACTAATTACAGTACTTTAGAGCATTGAAGAATTATAATGAAGTAGCATAGTCCTAATAATTTATGTTTCTTTGAATACGTATTTCCCATTTTTAGGCTAGTGAATTTTCTCGCTCACCCAAACAGTGCTCTGCTGAAGATTCCAAAAAGCCATCTAAAAATTGTTCAGCAAAACAAGCCATTGCTTCCAGGAAGAAAACAAACAAGAGCATTTACCACCTGGTATGTCCATTAATACTCATGCAGGCAAACACAAAGCCATTCTAGCGGCAATTGAAAGTTAACAGGCCATCCATAATTGTAATTAGAATGCCCTACCAATGGTTTGCACGTCTTTAGAACTGTGATTCCCTTGAAAGCACATCTCTTCTCAGTTTGAGCAATTTGTTTATAGCTTAGGAAAGATGCCTGTCAGAAAATTTCTATAGCTTTGTTTGTTATTCTGTCTTGTATAAGACTCCAGTTCTACTCTGATTTCATAATATTTGTTTTTCCAAAGAGAGGGGTGTGGCTTGGAGGGAAAAGAGGAAACAAAGTAGTTGGGTTGCTCCACTGTTCATGAATTTAAAGTAAATAATTTAAAACCTCTAGCTTAAGTAGTAATGAGAATCACAAGTGGAATTGCTTGTTCTCTAGTTTTGGTAATCACTTATACTTTATCTTGGTTGATATATTTTTATGGATGGTCTTGTGTGTTCTTTCACAGACACTTTATAATTTTGGTACCCTACCTCATAGATTAGGATTCTGTTCCATATATTCTTATATTAAGTACCGTATGTGTATTTTTGAAACGCATCAATAAGCAATCTTGGGCTATTGCAATAGCATGCTTAATGCCAGAAATGATGAGTTATTTTCTTTTTACATGGATCTATAAACCTCCCACAAGACAGCTTCCAGCCCTTGGTCTTGAAGTTCTGTAATCATCCAGGATTTAGAGGGGTCTTCAATCTTCAATCAGTAGTTATAGGTCAAGTTAATCTGAATTCAGATATCAGTAGGTTCTCTTTATTGATTGTGGTCTGGGCTGCAGCAAAGATGAGAAGAACCTTGTGTTTACCCTGATTGCTTCCCTGCTTCATAATGTCAAAGGTACAAGATTGAATTGAAGGTGAGTAATTTTAAGACACAGGACAAGTGGAAAGAAACTGAACAAAAATACTGTAATTGTACCACATAGGAGAAAAAATAAAGATAGAAGCTGAACTTTTTTTTTACAAAAAAAGGACGAGACCTTTAGATGAGCAATGCTGTTTTTTTTAAGAAGGTGGTCAAGATAAAAAATAACATTTTTATGAAGAGAGGTCAAACACAAAGAAATAGTTACAAGGAGTGGAAATATTTTTATATAAAATCATATGATCTAAGGTTATGATATTTCCCATCCTCTGAGACTGGACACTGTCTATAGCTGGAACCTTTGTCTGTCAGAGGGTGAGAACACACCAAAAATCCTCCAGGGTGCTTTATTCGCTCTAGCGAGTGATAAAAACAGATCTTTTCTAGAATACTGTAATGACGATCTTATAGTTTTATATTGCTACACAAGCTCTTGCACTAGGTGTCCTTGAAGAAACTCATTATCTCAATATATAGACCTATTAACTACCAATTACTTTTCAGTTTACATTAAAACCACAACTGATTCTTTGCATAATCAATACCAAAATAATTTTTTTACATCAGATGGAGTAAAATTTGTATTAGGCCTGGGAGAAAGATCAGACAAGGACATTAAAGACAATGACCGATTCTGTGTGCTCCAGTGTAAGGAGCCAGTGTACACCGAACTGAAGCTCCTGGACCAAAGGTGCTTTTCAACCTTAGGAGAGGAGCTGCAACATTTCCAGAGATGCCTCCTGGCATTTGGAAGTCACCTCAATGCACATGTGAAAAGATACAGCAATCCTGATGAAAGGCAAGAGTTGGAGAGATATGTGCATAATCTATGTTCATTTCAGAAGCAGCTGGTATAAAGAGTGCAGTAAGCAAGATTCCTTTTTTATCACAGCTGATGCATCCTGTAATACAGCTGGTAACTTTCCTTACATTGTGAATTAATGTAGTATACAGGGTATAAGCATCATGTGCAACGTTCTGAGCTTAATAAAAGGAAATTACAGAAACCACTGCTGTAAAAAAAACAAATGCCCAGAAGTTCAGGGTGAGTGCACACAAACTTACCAAGTTACAAAGTTGCTCTTTATCAGCACTCTACCAAAGATAGTGCCCATGTGACTGAAGTCATTTGCACTTTCCCCTTTGCTTTGTGGTCTGAAAATATATTTGTTAATAAAGGTATTTCTGAAATTGCTGGACTATCATCCCTGTCTCCAAAGGTACAGGTAAAATTGGGAGGCATGCTGGAGCAGTACTTGGCACACTTGCCTCACAGCTTCAGGTTGCTGGGTTCGCCTCTCTTTGTGGGGTTGTCTGTTCCCACCTGGGTGTTAGGCAGGTGCTCCAGTTTCCTCCCACCTTTCATAGGGTAGCTAGAGTTCTCTGAAGTCTTGCCAAACAGCTGATGTTGCATCCAGGGGAGTCTTGAACTCTTTGTTCCGCCTTGCCCCCTGTGCTTCCGGGATGGACAGTCTTGCTGCGACCCTCACCAGGATAAGCAGGATCTCTACCCGATTAGTCTTTCACAATAGACCATACTGGGTGCCAACTTTCTAAAAGAAAAATCAAGCACTGTGCTGTCATTTTGTGGTAATGGAAAAACATTGCACTCATAGGAACACAAGAAAAGTTAAAAACAAGAGAGGGCCATTTAGGTCATCTGGCCCATTTTGTAGTTAGTAGGTAACTGAGTCCAGGACCTGATCAAGCCCTTTCTTGAAAATAAAACCTGGGTATCCCCCTCAACATCAACATAGAGAGAAGAGTGAGCAATGCGTGAGACGTCGCTATGGAACAGTGCCATCTTGTAACTTGGCTGAACAGTTAGTTCCATACTCCCCCAACCCTTAATTTTAAATGCACTTCCACATTCAGTAGTTTCCATTTGTGTTCTCTGGTCCAAGTTTTAAAGCCCAGTATTTAATTTTGTTTTGATATTTTTTCATTTAATTTGCTGCTTCTACAGAGTTTGCTAATCCTCCTAATTTGGTATTATCTGCATACTTGACTGGTTTATTAACTACACCAGAATCTAGATCAGTTATATAAATTAGGAAGATCCCTGTGGTGCTCCACTAATTCTGTCAGTTCAAACAGATGTGGTTCTCTGAATGTCTACACCTTGTAATTTAAGAATGAGTCTTTTATGAGGAAATTTGTTAAAGGCTTTCTGTAAATCTGAACACACAATATCATGTGCTTTGTGTACATCCATTACTGTTGCTGCTTGTTCAAAGATCTCTTAATTCAAATAAGGGTTAGTGTTCTCTTTTTGGTCAAAACACTAAATATTTGATAACATCTGTTTGGAGCTACATGCAAAAGAATGAAGCATGAAAATGGAAGAAAGAATTCGAGAATATGTGAGTTGTCTGTGTATACTATGCAATGGCAGTGAATTTGTGTCTCCTTCCATATTGGTTCAGTATTTTTCTGAACTTTTCATTTAGGTACTATTTGTGAAGTTTGGAGGGTGTTGACAGCTGCCCTAATGAGGCAAAAAAGTATTTTTTAATAGCAACAAAGAAAGGCTTTATCGTTATTGTCACATTGTTGAAATAAAAATATCATTATTTTGTAGTATAAGCCATCAAATAAGCCATGGGGATGGAGACTCTCTGTGAAATGACATAACTAAAATTGTAGCACTCATCCATGCAAGGAAAGCTTTAGTATATGTTAATTAAACTCCTATTACACTCTTTAAAATGGGGAAAGTTGTTTATTTGAATATTGACCCAAGTGGTACTTTTAACTTTTGCAAAACTGCTGCAATTATGTCAGATTGTCATGGTACACATCCACACAGACAAATTGGATTTGGAGACCCAGAATGCTAGGCTATTAAAATCTTCCCAGAAGGTATAATAAGCCCACTCTTACATCAGTAAATCTGACTGTGGAACTGACTTCATTTAAGAGGAATAAATCCAATATTTAATTAACACAAGTGACTTTGCACCCAAAGCAGTTCAATTTTAATGATTGGGTGTCTTTGTGCCTTTTATGATATCACTTAGCATAACGATCAGAAGAAGGTCGAGTTCATTTATTTCAGCCCATTGATCAACAATGACAAAGCTTTTCAATAAAGAAATGACCTTGGATAAAATTATTACTGTTATTAGCCTTTTGAATTTTTTTGGAAGGAGAAAGCTAATGACTTTCTTGGTCTAAAAAGTCATTTTGTAAAAGGGAACAACAAGAGGATAAGATGTGTAAAATAATTCTGAACCAAAGAAAATCACGCGAAAATTTAAGATCAGTTCATTATGGGTATCAATCAATTCGCTAATCTATTTCTCCTTAATTTGCATTTTATCACTTCAATCACATGACTCATTGCAAAAGGATCAAGTAGGCTGCAGAGCTATTTACAGAGATTTGGGGCTGGATTAAGTCATACAGGAGACTTGTCTCTTACCTGAAGAAAACCCAAACCCAGTGGCAATTGATTTGGCATGAACTGTATCTTTTTTGTTTTCCAGAAACCTCTGGCTTTTACTTCATGCAAACCCACTGTCAAGAATGGTGTTCAAAAGGTTTGATTTCATCCCAGCTTTGTTTTAAGTGACTGAAGGCCATGTAATTTTAAATTCTCTTCCTTCAGTTTTGGTCTCTGCTCCCTAAGGGTGCAGTGATGTCCAGAATTCAATCTGCAGAGAGATGGAGTTTTCCATTCCCTATGGGTGGTTTCACTGTGGGAAAGCACAGTTTTCACAGCAAATGGTACTGTTTCTAATACTGTGTAACAGCAGGTTTGAGCAACCAAGTGGTTTAAGTAGTCAAAGTCCTCGCTCTGAGTGCAGATTGAGCCCAGATGTTGCTATTTAAAAACCCGAACCTGGATCACATCACTACGATGAGTAATATGTAGTACTGTATGTGCAAGAAAGAAACATTTGAAATGGTTAGGGCTCCCCTTTTGCTCTGTTGACAAGAATCACAGGCCCTGACTTGGAGTCCTGAAATTGATGTTTCGTATGTTGGTGTTGCTCATTTGAAATATGGCAGCACTCTGTACTGTACTTAAGAAAATAACACATTTGATACATTTATAAAAAAACACACACACACAAAAACTCTTTCCAAAAGAGAACTTTCTCCTAAAAAAAGTTTGTCATCTCACTTACCTTTTGTGAGGAGTTAATTATTTATCATGTTGGCTGCTGTTGACACAACCTGAACTTAAGAGTATGAAAAATGAACTTGTCCTGGGAATATGGGTTTACTTCTGGCAAGCCAGGAAAGAAAGACACCATTCTCCCCTATGCTTTTCAAAGAACAGTTCACAGCTGCAACATCTCTCTGCATGTAAATAAAGAGAACAAGTTACTTTGAGTCAGTGAAGATTCATAACTGATTTCTCTTTGGTGTAGGTACCTGTGGGAATATGTGTCTAGCTTTTCCAATTTCGATGACTTCAAGCTGCACATCCTTTTACAACCACAGTGTTAACAACAACTTTGAAAGTTTCCAGGTACATGTCTGAAGTGTTAATTTTTATGTTTCTCTTTCAATATCTCTGGAGATGCAGGTTTTCAGGAGGGTCCAATATGACATTATGGTTTTTCAGTAAAATAAAATTATTTTTAAATAAGGTTATATAATTAATAATAATAATTTTAGTTTTAGAGTTATCTACTTCAGTGGATTTTGTTATTATTCCTTTTTGCATGTTTGCTTCTGAAACAAGGGATTTCAGAAAACCCTTTAATACTTCAGTAAATGTGTGACATGTGTTCCTTGTAAATATTTTATCTGAAATATTTAGGGATTTCATTAATTTCACAATCCTACTCTAATATGTTTAATATTCAGTATTAGCAATCTGGTTTGGTTATTTTTTAAACAGATTCTGTTAAGACAGTAACACATTACTTGATTTGTGGAAATCCAAAAAGCAAACAATAACAGAACCCATAAATTCTGCAAGGTTCACTTCGCTTCACAAAAGTGGCTAGCACTTTGAAAAAATAATAATAAATGTCTGAGATGGTGTTTAGATCAGTTCATGTAACTGGCATCTTAAGATGAGCCTTTAACTGTAAAGTGATTTGGCCTTCCAGGTACCAGGTTTTCCACCCTGGTTTGAAGAGAAACCCTAGTTTTTATTAGTTACATTTTAAGGAAACAATTAATGCAGAGTTCCAGTGTATCAAAGACCGGTGTTTCTGAGGACAGGGGAGGTTTGGCGCTGAATTACGCAGACACTAACATAAATACAAACAGGAAACCACAAAGCCATTTCCTTTTTTAACTCTTCTCCGCCCACATGCTCTGTTCCTGAGGTTTAACAGGTGTCACATTGCTATTGCTCTGCAGGTCACTTACAAGCAGTCCTATTACTGCTTCATTGCAGCTTGGCTGGTGCTGGGCTGCTGTAACCTACAGTAGAGTGGCTGTACCACCTCTGGGGCCCCTACAGCAGTTCTGACTACAGGCCAGGAGCTTCAGGGAAAAACCTCCAGTTCTCCTCCATGGCAGGAGCTGGCAGTTCTGGAGCCTGGCTCCCAAAAGAATGGTAGCGAGAATTAAATGGACAGATGTTGCTTTTAAAATTCTCTGAGCCATTCTTTTTGCCTCCCTCTCCTTGCCCTGGATGGCGCGTTTCTGCTCATAAAAGGAAAAAAAAGATTTAAAAGAAAAGCAGGCGCATGTTCTGTTTGTGCTCTGGGGGATCCTCAGATAACTCATCCTGTAGTTAAAGACGGAGCTAAAATTACTTCCCAAAGAAAATTTGAAAAGGACCCTCTAAGCATGCTATCCTCACACCTCCATCCTTAATTTTTAATGCCTCTCTGTATACAGTGGATTTTTGTAAGTGAGACAGATTTTCCAGGAATTTAAAAGTGCCTTTTATCTTGCACTGCAGATTTTTTCAAAACCAGAATCACATGAATCAGAAAATTAATGTTTTCTTTTATTTATGTTATCCCTCCTTGCAGACTTCCCGTAGAAAGTTCATTTAGAAAGTGCTAGAATGCTGATAGTCTCCCTGCATGTAACAGCGTAGCACACAGTTAAAAGAGCCATTTATCAAAGTTTAACCAAGATAAACTGTTTTAACTTTGTGTCGACAGTGATAACAGTCAAATCGATCTTGGCAATTTCTTTTAAAAAGGGGTGTTCTTTATACATGTGGTATTTGTTCTGCAGTTGCTGTGGCCTTATGTGGGAGAATGGGATGTATAAAATGATTTTTATTGTATAAGGCTCCTTGAAAAGGTTTAGAGAAAAGAAATAAAAGAGAAAAATCATTTTTTCTCCCTTCTATATGTTTAAAATTACTGAAGACGTAATAAGTTTAAAGTTAGTGTAACTCTCAATCCCAATGTTTATATCCTTTCTATAGACATCACCTACAATTACTGGCATGCTCACCATTTTCGAATTTGTCACTGGTTTAGCTGCTGGAGCTGCTGAATGCAGGATATATTAAACATTTATGGGTTATTTGTACGTGTGTCTTCCTAAAACAAAATGACGCATCTTATTTTTACAGTTTAAAAATAAAGTTAAGGTCTTCTGGTATTTCATTTTAGGTCCCTGCGGAACTGTTGAGTAAACAAACTCTTACACTCCAGTAAACAAACCAGCTTGTTTACAGTTTACAAAAGAAAAAAGGGAAAAGAAGTTGCTCTCAAATAAAGCATTTATGCTGGCAATCTTTGATTCTCTTCCTGTCACCTTTCTCCTCAGCTCTGCAGAGGAAGCAGGCAGTTGAAGATTGTCTCCTAACACAGAGCGTGACTGTCCCCTTCCACCGCCTCTTGACCAGGAGATAAATGACTTATGTTAGCAGCCAGCAGGGACAGGAGGTCAGGCATGGGGCCCCTCCCAAAAAGTCCTGCCAACACACCCACCCTCTACTGCAAGGAAAGAAAGACTGGGAAATGGAGATACTGTATGTGGTCTGTGGTTAATTTATTGCCTTTACCCCCATTAACACACAGGGCCTTCTCCTGCACATTATACAGCCAATGGTGAAACTGAACCGCAGCTACTGTATCTAGTGCAATAAAGTCACCAATCAGTTAAACAGCATTGTGCAGCTGTACTGAGGCCCAGTCTTCAAAGCAGCCTTCTCATACATTGCAGTGGTAGTGGAAATCTATAGGAGTACTTAAACCAGAAGACCAAAACAAAAGCAATTACAAATGGATTTTAGGAGAAACCACACCTGTAAAACATATGATCATAAATGACTGTAACGCAAGAGGAGGCTTTCAGATTAATCACGTATAAAAAGAACTATAAAAACAACAGGAAAAATAATACAATTAAATTTGCGTGCTTTTCAACAAACACAAACAGCTGCACTATACCAATATATACATTTGTAAAAGCCCCATTTCTAGGAGAAATTCCAGAAAAAAATTGAATTTTTTTTAGAAAAGAAATATGTCTCTCACAGGAAAAAATCGGCTTTAATAAATCAATGAATGTATCTGGATTTGAAAGCAAGGCTGTGTTGCACTTCAGTTTTGGTCACATCATGAGTTTCCACTGGTAGAAGTAAGAAACAGGCAGAGGAGGTTTCAATCATAGATCGTCTCAACAAATATGGAGATGATGCTTCCGTTTTTTAAAATATATTTTGGAGAAAAAAAAATCCCCCCCTCCCCCCCGTGCTAGCAATGTAAAATCAATCCTGTGTCACACTGGGCAGTTCGGAATCTATATTACACTGATCCACGGAAAATGAATGGCATGGCAGGCTGGTGGAAGAAGCAGGAGGTGGAACCAGCAAAAAAATAGAAAACCAATAACTGGTTTAAATAAATTGGTTTATTTGTCAGAGAACAAAAGAACTTGGCAAGCGTGTGCTGAGGCAGTATATGGAAGGCTGCTTTTTCTTCAGCTCTGCAGCAACAGAACTTTGCACCACTACATTTTTGTAAAGTTTGAGCAATACTGAACTGGTGCAGTAATCGCCAAAGCCATGATTCATGCATGCGGTTACTATTGAGATATTGTGGTTACTCTTTACTGTAGCTTGCTTACGTGCTTACTCTTGCTGTTTGAACTTTGCTTGACCTTTTCTCTGGGCTCCTTTGCAGTGTCACAGAAATTACTGTAACTAACTTTAAGGTACAAACACTGGTTAGGGCTGCAAGAGACTGCTCATGAGATGAAATACTAAAGTGAAATCTGACTTGGTGGATATGAGACGTATTTGAACATACCTCAAGTCTGAAGCACCCCAGACACCTAAAACTACAGTATGTTAATTAATATAATATAGGTAAATAATAAATATATACTATAGGTAGAACAATAAATACAAAAAAGGTAAATAAACACTGCCATGATTAGAGTGAGATAAAAATTAAACAGTATTTGAATTATAGAGTTAGATCATCAAAACTTCAAAGCTTAAAATATGCATGATTAAAAGGTTAACATTATCAGACACAAAATCTGATAATAAGTCATTATCTATAGGGGACTGATGTTAGTAATGTGTTTTTAAGATGAACAGAGGTGTTTAATTAACACATTTCTGTGATTTAGCTTACACAGTTTTCATATGTTAGTATTCAGCTTTAGTGTCCATTGCTAAAAGGTGTAGGCTGCATAATTTATTTTTTCTTTATGAAATTCAGGGCATAGTATGTAACGGTGGAGGGTCCCAGAGACATAACCAGATGGTCATGAATTTAAATCTCAAAAGAGGGCATGGCTGTTAAATCTTTGCCAGAATTGCTCCCGTCGATCCAGGTTCAAAATAAGGACACCAGTGTTCAGTGGTACTAAAAACCAAACAACTTAGATGGGCTGAATGTCCTCCTCTCATTTGTGACCTTTCTAATACTATTGTATTCTCATTTGCTGGAGGGATGGACCTGCTCTCAGTTTGTTTAATGTTACAGAAACATAGATAAGCTCCGACTCTATGAGCAGCTGAGGTTTGTGAAGGACTTTAACCCATGAGAGCAGTTCATCTATCCATTATCAGAAAGCAGCTTATTCCGGGTAAGGATTACAGCCAGTCAGAGCCTGTCCTGGAAGCACAGGATGTAAGGCAAGACTACACCATGGGTGAGATGTCAGTCCATCACAGTGCAGACATACACAAGCACTTCATATCAGCTGTATATCTTACACAATGTTATTTACCAATAGGTGGAGTTCTTGTTTTAGCCAATTCTGCCTCTGAAATTACTTCTAATTTCTAAAGGAAGCACACAGGGGAGAGCAGCAAGTGAACTTCCACGCTTAAGTGCTAAATAATTGGGCATGTTGTCACTCATAGAATGTGTAGTTCTCTCACCCCAGTAACTGACTGCACCAGTAGTCCAGATTTTATAGGTCCCTTCAATTATAGGCTAAGATTTTTTTTTCTGTTCAGGCAAATGTGAATATCACACTGAATGATGGATTAAGTGAGCTTAATTTCTCAACTTGAAAACTCCAACCAACCAAATAATAATATTTTTTTAACTCAAACAGATTAAGAAAACAAAATATATTCAGGTTTCAGGTACCACAGAAAGATAAGGTGATTGTTAAAATAATGTATTTACTGTATATATTTTGCAGGTGTATGTATTACATCTGCAAAACTGAAGATGACTATAAAACATACCTATATTTAGGATACAACTATATATCTGACTTAAAAAGTCCTGAAAAAGTCAAATTGCAATGTAGTAAAAAAATCAAGGTTTGTAACTTGTGCCAAAAAAGACACAAAAGATTTGCTCTCAGGTTGTTTGAAACTGAAACAGAACTTGTCATTCTATTCTGTTAATATGGAATAGCATTCCTAGCCCAGTGATTAACTTTGCTGTTTTAAGCAAAGTTAATCACTGGACTGGGAATGTCTGTTTAGTGACCCAGTTTAACAGATTACTATGGGCAATTTAGACAGCAAGGGTTGTGCCTGAATGTCATGTAACAATCATCCTGTATACTCTTCACTTGTCATTTGCAGAACTGGTGTATACTACTGTTATTGTCCATTTTTGGGAGAATGTGAATTTTAGGCCTTTGGATGAAATAAATTTGTTGATTCTCACCACTGGTCAGCAGGAACAGTATCATTAATACAGTTTTCCTTTAAATAAATTATTTGTTTCTTATTGGCATTTCAAGTGTTGTAGCGTTGGTACAGCTGGAGATCTATGTTTTAAAACCACAGTTTGTAGCTACAGTTTTGCTCTTTTTTTTTTGCCCTAATGAACCTGTAGACATTCTATTGCTGGATGTTGTCTGCATGATCTTTAGAAGACCTAGGTTAAAGACAAAGCCTTTACCAGAGCTCATTTTGGTTATCATAGGGTTGAGTGGACAGAGAGCATATGACCCACCCTGGATGGGACACTGGTCCATTGCAGGGATTACCCCCAGCAATGCTTGTCCACAGTGGCTGGACTGGAGAAAGTGAGGAAAAAAACTCACTTGAGGTACAACAGCAGTGTCTGCCCTAGGGACTCAAACCCACAATTTGTCAGTCGTAAGCACAGAAACGTTCGCAATACTTCATGCTGTCCCCATGACATAGGGTTAAAGCAAAGATTAACCCAGTTTTTCATTTATTGTATGATTTCAGATCATTTTTATCACACGTCTTCAAAGATAAGGTTCATCCTTTCTAATTTAGCAATGTAGAGATAAGGATGGAAAGAAAAACAAGACTAATAAAGCTGTATGTCACTGATGCAAACAATTGGTGAGCAGCATTTCAGTCCAAGGGCCAAAAACCTCCTGCATAAACCTGGGTAGTAAAGCTGCAGTGAAACGAGGTAAAGGGAGAATGAAGATTAAATGTGCCTTTCTGTTATATTTATAGAATGATATGGATAGTCTCTGATCATCCCTACCTTCTGTGTTTCAATTCACCAATAATATACTGACCCATGGAATCAGAGGCTGCTGGCACCTGACATGTCTGCTTCACCTCCCTGCAAGCTCACCACTGCACAGTACCAACTGCCACTGGCCTACAGGCCGCTGATCAAATTCCACAGCTGAGGATCCTCTGTATCCTAACACAGACAGAGACACATCTTTGGCTCCAATGCGTCTGCAACTGATTTTTTTCCGATTTTTTTAATTTGTCAATTTTGTGTTCAATCTGAATAATTCAATGTTTAAATGATTAAATATTAATCCCAATTTGCATTGGTTTAGTAAACAAACCTTAACCTGAGAGACTTACAATACTGAGAATTTACATTAAGCAGAAGTCGCAGGAACAGTAAATTAAATTAGTACAAAGGCCTTAAGACTTTTACAAACTGAAAGAGAAATGTAAGCAATAAGCAAGTAATGTATGTGTTGTACAAAGGAAATTAAATAGAAACGGGTAGAACTGTGCACATAACATGGATACAGAGAAGCGATTTAGCATACTTTCCTTCTTTGTAAGAGCATCCAAAGTGAATTGCAGGGCTGAAAATAGGAAAATCTGGTATCAATTCACTTTTAAACCATTTAACAGTAGTGAGATACAGTGTCAAGTATTTTGTATTATATAGTTTACATAGCACAGGAAACAATCGAATGGGTGTAATACCAATACAGCACATGTGCAATTAAAGGGGCAGCAGCGCAGACCACTAGCATAATCAACATGTCCAACACATACTGTACAAGGGTATGCATACCAGCTGTTCTTATAGTGGCATAATTGGATAATGTTTTGCAGAGTCATGGGACCAGGCAAATAAACACCTAGCAGCTGTACATGATGTCAGATGGACAGACTCAAGGGCATGTCCTTGCTGCAGCGAATGGAAGTTGACATCTTGAAATTGATTGCACAGCCATATTTATATCTTCCGCATTGTCAAAAGCTCCAAAGTGGGTGATGACTGACATACCATTAGACTGTACTTGGCTGCATGGGTTCTCAGAAACTGTTCTTATGGAAAGAAGTATGACTCGTACTTTCTTGAGAAAATAAATAGTTCTTGTACAAGTTTAACTATATGTGGTGATTTCAGAGCCCAGGTGTTTGATCTTTATATGCTGGCTGTTCCTTCCCTAAAAATACTTCATTCCTCTCTGATGTCCACAGACCAACAGTCTGAGATCTTGAGAAAGACTTCAGTGGTCAAATCCAGATGAAATAAATTACTAGCTTGGTAAATCAGGGAATTACACTTACAATGCTTATGGCTTTGTGCTGTTTTAAGGAGGTAACGAGGTAAGCTAACTTACAGTGTAATACAGCTGAACATACATGCACTAATGTTTCATATTGTATGCTTCTATTTCCTGGAAATCTCTCTGCCATGCCTTCTATGATTGGCAAACTAACAACAAATTGACATAGTA